CTCTCTCTCTCTCGCGGCCTTCTTCATGCATGCGCTCACACTCTCCCTTCTCTCACTCTCCCTAGAATACATCCGCTATCACCTGACTCTTTGTATCTCCTCCTACTAGCTATGCGGCTATGGCCGCAGCGTTCCTTCCTCAACGCAGCGCTGCCCAGCAGGGCTCTCGCACATGCTACTCGCAGATAGCGCACAAGCACGTCAGCAGCACTTCCACACTTCTCACGAATGAGCAATCTCCCTTGAAATGTGGATGACCAGTCCTTGTATCGACTTGGGACTGCGCCTGAACTCGTCCCTGTCTCTGCTTCCTTTGGCTCGACTTGGACCCGGCCGGTACCACATGCCCACGGCCTGCTTGCTTCAGAATGTCAATGCCTGGTACTTAGCCGAATTTTCATCGGTGTGCTGCTGCTTGGGTCTGTGAGTCACGACTTTTCACCTGTGGAACATGACTTTTGACTGTGGGATGCGACTCTTGCCTCTGCGACACCACTTTTGTCTGGAGAAGTGTCCTTTGCTTGTGGGATTTGACTTTTCAATATGACTTTTCAATATGAGACGTGACTTTTGCTTATAGAATGCAACCTTCGCCTCTGGGATGTGACTGTTCACCGGGTGCCTGTTGTTGGACTTAACTCCTAAGGTACCTTAGGACTGTGACTTTGTGACTTTTCTGAAACTGACCGACTTGGCCTCCCTTGGCCTGAGACCTTGACCCTGAAATTCGAATCGGATTTGGGGTCTGCATCGTGGAATGCCTTTCGCTTTTGGTGTTTGAAGCCAAACCATCGATTAAAAAAAAAACAAAAATCAAACCAGCAACTTAAGACTACAAAAGAAACAAACCCTCAAAACAAAACAAAAAAAAGTTAAAAAAACCCTACAGCTACGGGCTTAAAAGTGTTGTCTGCGTATCTGATGTGAAGTGATGTGAATGCACTGGACCCGTTTTCCAGTAGAGCTGTTACGTTTTTTTTTTTTTTTTTGTTTCTTCGGGAAACCACGCGGGAGTCAGAAAAAGGGTTTGAAAATTGAAAGTACACTTCGAGCAAAAAAGAGTTTCAAATTGCACTTCTGTCAATGTGTACAAGCTGACTTTCCGGTCAGGTAGGGTTGCATGGGGGTGTGCTATGTTCGGGGGAATGTCTGAAGTGTAATTTCGGAGTGTTTTTGTGACTGTACCAAAGTTACCCCTTTTTTTTTTTTTTTTTTTTTTTTTTTA